GGACGTAGTACACGCTCAGCTAATGGGCTGCTGGTCCCTGTGTTGTTGGGACTCTGGCCCTTGCGTCCGTGTTCTGGGGGGTAGCAGTGTGGTGGTGGGGAGGCCGAGAGGGCTGGCTGCAAGGGCTGCTGCCGCCCCTTCCCGCGGTTCCCTGGAGAAGGACGGGGTGGCACCAGGGTGTTTTCTCTATGAACCCCGGACGGTGCCGCCAGGCTCGCCAGGGTCTTCAGGCTGGGTGCCCCCCAGGGTCTGGCCCAGGTTAGACTTCGTAGTGGGATCACAAGGTGTACTCTTGCATTGGTGTTTTACCTTCATTTCCCCTGGAAAGTGATGAGGAGTATTGCTTTCTGTTTTTGCTGCCTGGGCGTGGCTGGCAGCAGGTATCTCCTGAAGGCTGTCTGAGCAACGGCCCCGCCTCACTCTGGGCTGTGGCCCCTCCCCCTGCCCTGGTTCTGCACCAGCTCCAGCAGCTGAGACCAGGTCTGCAGCCTGGGCTCCTTCAGAGGATGGCAGGGGTTGGGGCAGTCAAAGCAGGTTTTGTGTTTCCTGTTTGCAGTGGGCTGGGGGCCTGCATCTGAGGGTGTCACCCAGGTGTCTGCCCTGGTGGTCTCTGCACCTGTAAAGGAGGTGCCGGGTGAGGACGGAGCCAAAGCGCCGGTGGGGGCTGCACCCCTTCCTGTGTCGGAGCAGAAACATCTGCAGCTGAGGGTGTGTGTGTGGGGGGGGGCGTGGGTGGAGCAGTGCACTGTCTGGGCCAGTGACGGGTGTGCAGCTCACTCTTTCCCTACAGTGATGGAAGGAGCCCGGGGAGGGGGCCCCCCTCACAGAGGAGGCAGCCGGGGCGCTCCGGAGCCAGAGCTCGGCTCCAGCGCAGGAGGCCACTCGTGGGCTCTTTCTGCTGTACCAGTTTGCTTCTGGAACCTTCTAGGGGATAATGGCTGTCATTGGGTTGATTTGTAACTTTACTCCATCCGAAATTTCTGTGTGGAGTCCTAACCCCAGTACCTCGGAGCGTGACCTTATTCCTGAATAGGATTATTGCGGATGTAGTTAGTTAAGATGCGGTCAGTACAGTTGGGCCCTAGTCCAGTGACTGGTGTCCCTGTGGAAAAGGGATGTTTGGACACTGAGACAGGTGCACGTAGAGGCACGACGGTATCTGCGGGCCAAGGAGAGAGCGCTGGAGCTGGTCTGGTCCACACGGCCGTGCCGTCGGAAGGAGCTGACCCTGCTGACGTCCTGCGCTCCCACTTCCAGCCTCCAAACTGGGAGACCAGTTGTTTCTGTTGTTGAAGTCACGCTGTTTGTGGTACCTCGGTCCAGCAGCCCCAGAAAACCAATACAGCGGCTACAAGTATGTTTCCAGTTCAGAGCAGCTGGTTTTGAAGTTCTCTTTCCACTATTTTATGTCCTGGGGACCTTGGGCGTGTTCACGTGAGCTCTTTCGGCTTCATTTTCCTTCTGTGAAGTGGAGAGACTGCCACCAACCGCCGGGGGCGCTGTGACGAATGGCAGCGAATGTCCCGTGCTGGGACGGACGCAGGGGGACTACGGTTTAGTGAATGGGGACGATGGGAGAGGGCAGCCGCAGGGCACGGTGTTGGGGAGTCAGCCTGCCCCCTTCTCCCACCCGATGCTTCTTTCCAGGCCCCCCCCCCCCCCCAAAGGCCATTCCTTGCCCCTCTCCTCTGCCCATCATTGCTTGGTCTTATCCCTCCTTCCCCATCCTGACCCTCCTTCCCCAGGGTACCCTTTGCCTCTTTCGTCTTGGCCTTGACTTTGTCGCCCATTCACCTCAGTGCCGGGCCCCTTCTCACCTTGCTGGTTCTCCACTCACGTCCAAAGGGACACCATCTTGGTGACGCCTTGCTCAGCCAGGGGTTTTCCGTGACCCCCGCTCCTGTCGGAGGGTGTTATTCCAGGGGAGTGTCCTCAAGCAGCTCACCGGTTCCTGCCTCTGCCCATGTGTCCTCAGCAGCTGGTCAGCACGTGGGCCTGGCCCGGCCCGCCACCCCATGCGGGGAAGCTGGCACGGTGTCCCAATGCCTTAGTGTCTGGCTCGAAGTATTTCCGTCTTTTGGCTGGAGAATACCTTGGCACCTTCTTTCCTGTCAGAAGGTCCACTTGCCTGGGAGGCAGACGTACGCTTTTGGCCCAGGCAGGGGACCTGCGCTTCGGGTTTGGGCAGCACAGGCCCGGGATGCTTTTCGGCAGCCCCGTGCCACCTGTTAGTGTCGGGATTCCTTCCTTGGAGGGGTTAGCTGCTCGGAGTGGGAGGAACATGGCGTGACCCAGGCATGAGGAGCCGTGACTCTCTCTGGCTAGGCTGGCATAAAGATCTAAATGAACGGGTTTTTCTGACCATGACAACTTGGAAACCACTCTCTTGTCAGCGCGAATTCTATGAGGAAAATATCTGAGTAATTGCTAGTGGTAGATTGACTTGCTGACCCAAGTCTCACTCGTCCCTAACCCATGTCCTTTGTGCGGAATCCTCGCACGTGACCGTAAGCTGGGCCTTGCCACTTGCTTTGGCCAATGAGTCAGGAGCAGACTCAGTGCCATGAGAGGCTTCAGAATTGTTAGGCCCCCCCCCACCCCGCCTTTCCCCGAGCCTTGCTTCTCCCATGAAAGTTTGCCCAGGCTAGCCCACTGCGGGCCGAGAGGCCATGTGGAGCAAAGCCATCCTAGACCAGGTGGCTGCTGGCTGGCCACAGGTGCGTGAACACGCCTGACTCAGCCCAGCCGGGCCCAGGTCAGCGGAACCCTCCTCGCTGACTTAAACTCCAGAGAAATAATCAATGATGGTTGATTTAAACCACGAAAGGTTTGCTGGTGGGGGGGCAGGGTGTAGCTCACCACCTGCTGCTGTGCCCCACGGTTCACTTTGCTCCTGATCCAGTCTCGGGGCATGCTGATCAGTGCGGTCACATCTTAATTTTCTCCGATCCAGTGTTGTTTGGGAAGCCGCTGTTTTATTTCCAAGAAAAATGCACTGGCAATTGGGTGACTTGAAATGGAAGTGTCAGAGATCCTTATAATCAAGTCATTTAGTCTGTGCACTTGCAGTTTATCAAGAAGCGCATTGGAGCTGACTGTAACTTGAAAGGACAATATTGTCTATTGGCCTGAGGGGCACTGAACACGCAGGAAAGAGCGAACCCAGCCCTGCCTACATACACTTTTGATGCACATTGCAGCTGCTCCGGCTTGCAGCGGTCGGCTGCGTGAGGGGCTGAGACTCAGTTTGTAGCTGACTCCTAGATGGGCAGCTGGGCCGTCTGGGCCTGAGAGTGCTCTTAGCAGTCCCTAGACACACGGGCATACTGGACTGAAGACTGGGCCTACTCTGTTCATACACGGCACCCGCTTCGGTCAGGGGTGCCAGCTGGTGTGGCCTCTCGCTCGCGTTGGCAGGCTCACGACCTAAGACGGCTTTTGTTTCAAGTTGGGGGCCCTGCTCCCTAACAGGTCAAATTCCATACATTTTAACACATTGTATGCGGGAAACGTATTTATACGTTTTACGTTGACTGGTAGTAGAGCGCATGATAAAAACTACCCACAAACAATGTGTTAAGATATAAAATGATCTTCATTTATAATGTTTTATAAACAACTTTTCTACTTACACGTCTAGTCTTTCCAATACATTTTTCTCCTGTGCTGCGTTTAATGGCCTGTGAGGTGCTCCAGAAACGTAGCCGTCATGTTTGAGTGAGGGTGAATTTGCTGGAACTCTCAGGTAATCCTCTCTTGCAAGCAAGTGGTTTGAGTCACCACCAGTTCAATGACAGATTAAAAAAGCACAGCCATGCACTACGTAATGACCTTTTGGCCAACGACGGACCGTGCCAATGGGCCACAACGTTATCCAGGAGCTGAAAAATCCCTACTACCTAGTGACATCGTAGCCATGGTAACATTGTGGCATGGATTAGTCACTTGGCTGTGGTGATGCTGGTACTTGCACACAAACCCATCAGTTGTGTGAAAGCACAGCACTTATAGCTGTGTACAGCGCACAGTACCTGAGAATAAACGTGTGTACCGCAGGTTTATGTATTTACAGTGCTGTGCTCTAATCGTTGATTTAGAGTGGACTCTTTCTGCTTCTTCCAGTCCTGCAAGCTCCATTCATGGTAAGTGGCCCAAATGGCATATCATGTTTTCAACTTTTATACTGTGTTTTTACTGCACCTTTTCTACGTGTGGCTACACAAAACTGAGCACTGTGTCGCAGCTGTCTGCAGTACTCAGTGCCGAGACGCACTGTTCAGGTTTGCAGCCTCGGAGCAACAGGCGTGGGTGTGTGGTGGGCCGCACCAACTAGGGCTGGGGAAGTGCACTCGGCGATGGCCGTGGCACGATGAAATTGCCAAATGATGCATTTCTCAGACGTTTCCCCATCGTTAAGCTGTGCATGACTGTGCTTGAATTTTATCTTGTGGGAAAAAGTGTTTTCTAATTTTAAAGTGAGATGATAATTGCTTACTGCTCTTTTGTGGTTCACATTCATGAGCGGAATCAAAAGGAGCGGTCCGTAAGGAGGGAGAGAAACAGGGCCGGGGGCCTGAGGAGACTTCAGGGGAGACAGCGAGACAGCTGGCATTGGAGGGAGTTGGATGGGGCGTCGGGTCTACTCACGTGAGTCCTAAGTCTGTGAAATGGACAAACTTCCATGTAGTTGTGCAGATAAAGGAGGCAATTACATAGCACAGGGCTTAGCACCCATGGGGTGACGGTTACTGTTATTAAATGTTTACAGGATGTCTTCGTGGACCAAATGTTAATAATAAGAAATACATCTAATTTGTCCCCAGAGAGTGTAATTGACATGTGGCTAGCACAGGTCTCTTTCTAATATGATGAAAAGAAAAATCCAAAAAACTGTTGCTGTGTTTCAGAGGTAGGCAGAAGCGCATGTAATCAAGAATGGAAGGACACAAAATCCAGGTGTTCCTATAGACGTTCAAATGAACTGTTTCCAAAACAACAGGTGATTAAAGTAAAGGATTTATTGTAATCTGCTTACAGTCCTTTGCAAAGACAGACATATGTTTTTGCATAAAGATATAAATTGCTTCATTTTAAACTAATTTAGTGTGTTTTTTTAATTATATGAAGTTCCGGTGAATTATGAATTGTACCAAACCAAGATTTTTAGGAGAAATATGGTACAAAAAATAAGAGCAGACAGACAATTTGGACTGGGACAGGCATTCAACAGTGAGTTTAGAATATGGCTTTGCTGTTTAATCAAGCAAAGTTACCCGGAGACACACACAGAGCCAGTAACTTTGTTAATAGAAAAAGCTGATGCAGACCGTCTCCACCGCAAACCCGGTTACATCGAAATTCTGATTTTGTGAAAAGCACGTCTGAGCGAGAAGCTGCTCATGTACGCCTTTTTCCCCCCCCTAGAAACTCCCAGTCTGCATGCTGTGTATTTATACCCTTCCGAGTGTGGCTTTCCTATTGCTGTGCATGTAAGTAAGTTAGCTGTAGTTAAAGACCTGCCTATAAATTAAATTCCTGAAATTGCAAATTATGTACGAAAGACTCCCTCTGAGTGCCCCTTTGACAGGTGCCCCCTGGCACAGGGCTGGTGCCTTTGGAAAGACAAGGCCACGTTGCCTGCGGGGTGAGCCCTGCAGAGAAGCGTGGCTCCCGACGCTGCCTTCCCCTGGCCGTGGGTTTCTCCAGCTAGAGCTTTTCGGTCTTGGGAAACAATGCAGTTTCACTGAGTGCGTGATGATGATCATCACTTCCAAAAGATTAATTTGGCCTCTATTCAAAGTAGTTTATTTAGTGCGATCCTATTGTTACACTCCCCCAAAGAGATAGATGTTTTGCGATGTGGGGCAGAGAAAAGCCATACACTGCCTCAGTGCCAAACAGAGTAATGGATTACAAATTTTAGTGCCACTGTCTTGCTTATATCATCTGTAGTTTTTCTCCCCCCAAAACTGTTGCTGTATAAAATGTATTGTTAAAACCTACCTTTTAAAAATGTAAAAACCCTCTAACGATTGTGCGGTCTCCACGCCGCCCTTCTGCCCGCGCCCACATGCCTTGTCCCAGAGTGCCCCGCAAAGGCCCGCGTGTTCCCGAGGCTGGGTCCGGGGGCAGCCAGCCCCTCTCCTGAGACCAGCTGGGAGCTGTCACCTTTCACAGGCGTAGCGAGTGCCTGGGATTTTTTTTCCCAAAGGAGGAAATTTCATTTTTCTGAAATGGGAAGAGACTATGCTCGCTGAGCCCTTGCGTTTCCACAGTCTCTACTCGCCTACAGCTGAGTCGGCTTCTGGAGGACAGTGGAGAAGAGCCGGCTATTCAAGAGCTGTGTGCTCGCGGGGCTTCCTCCTGCGTGTGTGTTGTGAGGGGGCGCCTTCCAGTGCCCAGGTACCACGGCCAGTGGTTCCCTGAAAGCAGTAGGGCAAAGCAGGAGCCAGAACAGACGCTCAAGTCCCTCGAACACCCCGTGCGGGAGACCAAGGACAAAACAAATGCACAGGAAAAGTAGAAAGGCTTGAAGACCACCCAGGAGGATTCCACGTGGTTATTTACAACAGGGACTGTAAAATGGTAAATCAGATATGAAGCTAAAAAAGGCACAGCTTTCCCTTTCTTAAATACACTGTAAACGGTTCATTAGGCATGCAGAACATTTCACTTTACAAAAAATTTTTTTTACCTTGTTTAGACAAAGATAGTACTTAAATAGTCTCCAGCAAAATAGAATTCTTTCAAAAATACTTCCCATTCTTCCTATTAACCACTGTTTTTTTTTTTTTGTCTCATTTACAAAAGTTCCTTATACCTTATATAACTCAGGTCCTTCACAATTTATACATACAGTAATGTACAGCACAGCAAAAGACTGCAAAAAAATTATTTGTAAAGCCAACACAATAGATACTAGAAATTGAAACCAAGGCATTTGTTTTAACATCTTATCCATCCTAATTAACAAACAGACCTAAAGGTGTGGATGCCCATGGTGCAGAGGAACGTGGGCGAATGCCAGCCAGAGGGGGCGCTGTTCCACACCACGTGCTCTGTTATTACACAGCAGGAATCTGTATAGATTTTTTTCTTTTTTGTTTTTTAAATAACAAAAGAATATTAATGCCCCATATAGACTATACGTTTTATGTGCAAACCAAGGGTAAGCTTTAAAAAGTTCGTTAGTCCTTGAACCCTTTTAAAACAAGCGAACGATACCAGAAACTACATGGCATAGTTAAAACTTCCGTCTGTTAAAATATCAAAATCAGAGAGTTATTGACTAGATATGGCTTTTCATCCAGAGGATCGGGAACGTGTTTCTAAGCGCTGGGGACCGGAGAGGGAAGAGTCCTTTCTTTTCGGCTGTCTGGGTCTCGCCAAATTCACATCTGAGTGCTTCCCTGGCTCCAAACCCTTGACATGACTTTACAGTGAAAAACTGCTGAATGAGTGTGAATCAACCGTCCCATGTGAAAAATATGATTTCTCGGGTCCTTCGTGGGTGTCGACTAACACAGGGAAACTTAAGGCAAAGTTCTGCTGGGACGGGTCCGTCACTTCCTGTGGAAGTAGAGGGTCTTGGCGTTCCCGGATTCCACCTTCGGCAGCTGGTCGCTGATGATCTCCACCAGCATCGCGGGGAACTCCACTTTCAGGGCCTGGGACTCTCGGAAGGTGTAGAAGCAGAACTCCAGCAGGTCGCTCCCCAGCTGCAACACAGACAGAGAGGGGACCTGACGCGGAGGCCTGAGGCCCGTCCCCATCCCGGGGACACCTGGTGTCACCACACTCGGGTCAGGTCAAAGAGCAGCGTTCAGAAACCCAGCCAGGAAGTCACGTCTAGGACGCTGTCTGATTAGTAAGTCATTTGTCCTGGGGGAGGGAGAGGGGTGCTCACCCTTCACGTAAGAAGCCTTTCACTCAAAACAGATCCAGCCAAGAGCTGTGTCGCTGCTGAGGATTAAACACAGCAGCGGCAGCAGGGCCAGTGACCGGGCGGCTGGGTCCCTGAACTGCTCTCACAGATTCTTCTACACGTGTGAACTGGGTGGAGTGAGCGTGTGCACAGATCTTTGGAGGCTGGGGATGGGCCCTGCCCAGGTTATAAGGGGGGCTGGGTTTGGAGGGGCCGGTGCCAGCTCAGAGCCCGCCCAGAAGGTGCCCAGGGCTGTGAGGGACAAGACAGAGCTCCTCTGCTGGCGGGGCCTTGCCTCCTTGCAGCCTGGCCCGGCCGGCACGTCCGCCACCAGCCCTGCAGGCTTCCTGCCCCGACCTGGTGGCAGGGCTCATGAGACTCTTCACTTTGGTTCCCCCCCGGCTTCACTGAGACAGTTGGTTTATAATCAGCACACAGCATTATGTAATGGGCACCTAAGTTTTAGGTGGTACAACGGGTTGATTTGATATACTTATATATTGTGAAATGATTAGCTAGCTAACACCTGCATCACGTCACATAATTGCCATTTCTTTTTTGTGGTAAAAAGGGTACTTCAGAACTCAGGAACTTTCAAGCATGGAATACAGTGTTACTAGCTAAAACCACCACGCTGTGCATTAGACCCCCGGAATTTACTGTTACTAGAAATTTGTGCGCTTCGCCTGGCGTGCCCCCACTTCCACCCCACCCCGCGCTGCTGGCAACCGCCAGCCTGCTCTGTTGCTGCGAATGCGGCTTTTCAGATGCCACACGTGAGTGAGGTCATCCCGTGTCTGGCATTCTCCCTCTGACTCGGCTCGCTCAGCGAGCTGAGCCTGCCCTTAGGGCCCATCCACGTTGTCGCAGTGGTGGGACTTCTTTCTCTCTCGCGGCGGAACGACCCGCCGTTATGCGGCCAGCTGCTCCGCCGTGATGTGCCCGTCCGCTCTCATCCCGTCTCCCCTGCAGGCTGACCGTGCGAGCACGAGGGGGCCCCCGGGGACGACTGTGATGTCGCCTCGCCCGTCCAGCCGTCCTCCCTGCTCCATGACCGAGGGCCCTGCTCACCCCCCAGGGCCCGGGCCACCTCCAGTGCCATCAGGTAAAAGAACGGTAAACCCACAAATGCGGAATGGCCTTACTGGTTGCTCTTCTGTTTCCTAGGAATACAATTTCAAATCACCAGGTACACATTCTGCGTTTTCATTAGTTAACTACACTTTCGGTCATTTCCCACTGCAGTACAGCTGGCAGGATTAATATTCGTGTCGGAAAAGTGATTCTTGTGAAAACACATCGGTCACTTAAAAAAACCTCAGGGTTTTTCTAAACTCAGTGAGCTCTGATTGAGCGGGATGGTGAGTGCCGGCCGGTGAAGGCCTTCGTTACAGAGCAGGAATGGGGGCGTCGCTGGGAAGAGCACGCAGCCGCTGCTTCTGCTGGGACGGCCGCTGCCCAGGGGGTCCAGGGACTGAGCTGTGGCAGTGGTCGCAGCCCCAGGGGGCTGGGGCCAGAGATGGGGGAGGCCAGGGAGACAGCATCCCCCCACCAACACACAGAGGCCGGCTGTGTGAACGCGGGGCCTCGGTTTCCACATCTGGCGGGGGGGAGGGGGTTGGCGAGAGTGTCTGCTCCCCAGGGGTGCCTGTGCGGACAGGGTGCACTGGCACGGGGGGCGGGGGGGGGCATCTGGCGGGAGGAGTGCTGCGAGGGTGGGGCCCCGGGCTCCTTCGTTCGGGTTTCTCTCTCGGACCGAGTTTCCCGAGCCTGCCAGTCATCTCCTGGAACTCAGCCCTCAGGCCCCCCTTCTGTAAAGAGAGGGACCACAAATTTGTTTTCTGCCCTCTCCAGAAAAAGGATTCTTAAAATAGAATTGGGATGGCAGGCTTCTTAATTCTTTTTTTTTTTTTAAGTTGGCGGGCTGGTGGCTGTGAAGCTAACAGCCCCGCTGGGCCCTGCTCTCCCGGCGTGGGGCTGCTGAGCCCTTGAGTGTGGGGTCACTGGGCGGGCACCTGTGTGAGCACACCTGCTGACGTCTGACACATGTCACCTGGCGGGGCCAGGGCCACGTAAGGGATTGTGTCTGTAAACAGGTGACAGCAGTGGTGATGCACGTACGACAGGAGACAGAGCAGAGCGAATCCGTTCATGACCCCAGGGCAGCGTGCCCGGTGCCACCTCTGTCCCTGTCTGTAGCTCCCTTGTGCCTGTATTTTGGGCACCGAGCCTCACCTAGGAGACAGTCAGGGGCTCGGCTGTTTTTCCTCACAGGTGGGCCGGGGACAAGTGTCCTGGACACCACTCACTAACCATGCATGAGCGCCCAGGACTGGCATTTCCACCCACCTGTGCCCCGTGTTCCACAGGCCAAGAAAGCAGCTCATTTCCAGTCAGAAGTTGATACCCAGGGCTTCTGTTTACGCAAGTGCCTTGGCCAGCTGCAGAGGGATGGGCACCTTGCTGGGAGGGGGGCTCGGGCAGGTGAGGTCTCTGACCCCGTGAACACCTGTGGCCAGGATGGAGATGGTGCTGGCTGCTTCAGAGGCCTGCCGGGCCCACTGGCCCCTGGGACCAGGCTGAGAACCTTTGCAGGACTCAGCCAGCAGGTTCTGAGCCAGTGGCTGTGGTTGCTAAGTTCAGGGATCACCTGTGACAAGCAAGGCCAGGTGTCCAAGGTGATCGAGGGCAGGGGTCTGCAGGACGAGGAAGGACCCCGGCCCCCCTGGAAAGTACAGGCCAGGAAGGAGAAGCTGCAGGTGGGCAGGGGTCCTGACCAGCCAGAGTGGGCGCTGGTTTGTGAGTCCGACAGCTGTGTCACGTCCAAGGGTCTGGCCCCGGGGCTGCACACGGGCGTGGGTGGCTGACTCCGAGGTGGCAGCCTGGTGTGAAGCCGCAGCACACGCCGTGGGACCGAGAACCAGGACACAAACAGGTACAGTGCACATGTCCTCACCGACACTGTCCCTGACTCCTCAGGCAGGATGGCCGCTCAGGCGGGCAGCGTAAGGCCAAGCTGTCATCACAGCCTGGGAGGCTGTGCATCGCTGAATGACCACGGAGGGTTTCTGCCTGCCCCCCAAACCGCTGTTCCCCCGGCAGAGTCAGAGCCCACCCGAGCAGAGTGGGGTCCCTCGGGGCCTGCCTCGGGTCCAGGGTGTGGTGGCGGGAGGCCAGACCTTCCCAGAGGCCACCTTTCAAAGGAAAGCACCTCAGGTCGACTCCGCATGGACAGCCCTCCAGGGACAGTCATGTCCTGGACACTAACTTGGCGTGAAATGGTTTTAAAAAATGCCACTCATTCTCTTCAAAGGGTCTGAGTACTGGCTTGTTCCCCCAGCTCTTTCATGATGCCCCCCTGACTCCCTGAAGTCACCCTGCTCCCAGGAGCACCAGCCTGAGGACCCTTGCTCCCCTCTGAAGTCACAGATGCTATATTTTGTCTAATTTATTTGACAGCCAAACAGCCAAGGGACTCCACTCCTCTTTCATCCTGAGGTTCCTATCTCTGATCCGTGTAACCTTCCCCCTTTGTGGCTCCTCAGGTGGCCTGCACACGCCCCGAGGACAGGAAGCACCGCACAGCCCTCGGCATCCGGGGGAGGCCCGTCCAGTTCTCCCTCAGCTGTCCCGGTAAGGTGCTCGGCCCTTGCCCCTGCCTTTCTCCCGAACTCTTAGGTGGCCAGGAAAAACTTCCCCCAACAGTATTTTTTCAGGGCAGTGCGTTGCTAGTCTTATTCAAGGAAGCAAAACAAGACCTGGTTAGCGTTAACTCTTGAGTGGCTGCGTGGATGACAGCATCGTCCATGCAAAAGAACCGTCAGTTTCAGTCCGGAAGCGTGACCACTGCAGGGATAAGTGGGCATCTTCACTTGAGTGACGCTGAGTCAGTAATTCAGAACTCAGTGTGGGGAAGCTAGCCCCTTCCATGTTTTCCTTCAACTTGTTTACACTGGGTTTTAACCTGACTCGGTACGCACGCCCTGCGTGAGCCCCACCCCTGCTCTCTGGGTTCAGAGGGATGGGGTGGGAAGGAGGTCGAGGCTACAAAGATAAAGCCCCATCCTTCTGGCATGTCAGCACAGATGCCTTAATTTTAAGCAATGAGACAAAGAGCCAGGCCTGCCATCTCTATATTGGTTCCCACTGGCCTTTCCTGGTAGTAACGCCAGGCTTGATGGAGAGGCAAGAACCCGAATTACAATCAGTGGTGAGAGTCCTGCTCTGTAAGGAGTCAGAGAAAGGCATGTGCAGTGACTTTGTTCTGCACACAGTGCCTCTGCTGGGGCCCCGGAGGCTCAGCTGGAGGCTCAGCCACCCCGAAGGCACCTTGTGGGTTCTGCCAGTGCCCTTCTCCCGTTCTGTCTACAGAGTCACCACGGCCTGTGCGTGGCCGCTCCCCCAGCCCCCCTCTGCCCTGAGCAGGGGCCTGTCGGGGTGCCGTGCAGGGGGGTCTGGTGCTGCTGCTCCAAGGTTACACGACCACTCAGCGGGGACAGCACCGGATGGGGAAGCCTCCCTGATGCAGGGTCCCACCTGTTTTCGAACAGCGTGCTCATTCCCCCTAAGTTATTTGCTGGCTCCAGAGCTCTCACCTAATTAGGATCAAGCTTTCTGCTCTTATAAAGTCTTGTGTGGAGGTTGGAAGCTTGATTTTCAAAGATTAGAATTTTAGCCAGCTGTGGGGACGGGGCTAGGGGCAAAGAGGCAGAGCTGCAACCCTCCATCCTGAACAGGAACTGACATGGTCAGTGGTCGTATGCTCCGGGGGCTCCCACAGTGGCCTGGAGGACA